TTTATCCTGCCATTGAAAGATGATGAACAAATTAATACGTTTATATGAAATAAAAATAGATTAAATGAATGATTGTTACTTATGCCAGTGATATGTTTGAAAAAAGGCTTGGGATTGTTTGTGACATATCATTCTCTTCTGCAATTATAAACTTCTTGTGAAAGTTTTTGCATAATCCATTCCATCACCACAATATGCTCTCCTAAGTTTGTGCACCAGTTGTTTCATTGAATTTCACCTACATGCTGAGCCTAGGTGTGTATTGTAACTTCTCCATTTTGTGACTTCATCTGTGCAGCACCTGCTTAACTTTGCACTTGTCTCAGAATCTGATGTATACATAATTGATGTTTTTCATGTAAGAATGATACCTATCAGTCCAACAGTAATACAGTAACTCTCAAATTCTTTGTCTGTTCATTAACCCTTTGAAGCCTGTAGGCCATTCAAAGAATATTTCAAAATACATGAAACACTGCATCACCATTACAAATAACAACCAGTTAATGCTTTTAAGGAAATAATTACCATTTATAAACTCACTTTGTGAATCAACTGCTGAGATTTTTAATGTTAAAGCAGGTGGTACAGATGGTAATGCCTGTGCTTTAAAGGGTTAAACACTGTTGTCAAACACGTCACTTCATCAGTCACTTACAAATATGTCACTAAACCCAAAAAGTAAACATGTGGTTTCCTAACAGGCACAATTATTACCAAGAATATGGGCAAGAGATAAATTGTAAACTATGGTGAGGAAATGAAAACTACAAATCTCCTTCCTATGCATCATATAATACATGAATTTAATACATCAAGAATACAGAACAGTCTTATGTGATACAAATGTGTTCTGTTGTTTAATCCTTTGAAGCCTGAAATTCATCCAGATAATATTTTCAAAATTAAGTTCCTACCTCACAGGAAAAGAAAAAAACACTGCACCTCCATTATATAGACTAACCAGTTAATGCTATAACTGCTGTTTATTGTGGGAATTATACAAAATCTATAAATATTCGCTGTGAGCAAAATGCAGAGCTTTTAATGTGGTACATATGGTAACCACTGTGATATAAAAGGGTTAATACAGAGCGCCTAAATAATGTACCAGTGTGTGAATTTGGAAAAAAATAAACCCACATACATTATGTTAAATATTATATCTTTGGAGTTCAATATATTAAAGAAGAAACCATTTTGATACTAAATTAATGAACATGGGAAATGTTCCTAAAGCTAAGCAATTTTATGAAAGAGCAATCTGTCTCTCATAAACTGTTATATAAGCATAATAAATGATATCAAAAATGACCAAATGGTTTCAGTATGAAACATTTCCATATCTTAACTGTTCACATTAGAAATTCATCATTCCTGTGAATTCAGTATAATACAAAATGTCATTATCATTGAAAAAAGAAGGTTCTTATAATAATATTACAATGTTATTTCAGGTGTGTCAATACAGTGGTCCCTGTTTAGATAATGTCCACAAGTGAAACATATTAATGTTCCTCTCAATGAAAGTTTCAGAAATTCATTCCACGTGTGAAAACAAGATAACTATCAAGATAGCTGCAAAATAAATGAACCAATAAATAAAACTGTATGCACCAGCTACTTATGATAAGTAAAGGAAGTTAAATTAAATTATAATATAATATTGTTACATACATAAATATCCAGGAAGCATGCATCCAGATATTTATTGGTTCACTGTGTCCACTAGAACATCACCTGTAGACAGTGACATACATTCTTAAATTATGCCAAGAGTATATTGCATTCAAAAGATCAGTTTGCACTTGTAAGAAAATAACATACGCTTTCTTCAGTACAATAGTTATCCACGTTTCTACAAAACTTATATCCAAAATTATTGGCTAAATATATATATATATATAAACACTTACAGCCTGTTACACATCCAGTGAATATTCTCATTCTCTCTTTTATAACCGAATTTTCGCAAATCTATCTGATCATTGGTACTATTCCAGCACCAGCATTTTATAATGTGGTGCAACTTTGTGTTTAGTTTTTAATGCTTGTATGAAAAATATTAACAATATTAATGAAATTAAATATCATTATCTATTACAAATAATTCTGGGATAAAATGGAGACAAAACTAGATATTAATTGTTGCAGGCAACTGTAAGCGCTTTGAGAGTTTACTGTATGCTCTGGATTTCATACATCTTGAACTTTAAGAGAAAAGAAACTGATACAAGTACAGAATTGCTATGTAATGCTCTAGTATTTCTGGCAGAAACAAAAGCATGTCAAGCAAGATTAAATGTGAAACTGAACAGGCAAATCCAGTCCTAAGAGACTGGGATAGTTAAATAGGTCTGATGTGATGTAGTGATAAATGTAGTGCAAGTTGTAAATGTACAGTTCTAGTTAGAAATTTATATGGTTGAAGAACTTTGTTTGACATTGCTCAAATACCAGATAAGTACATTAAATTAAAAGAACATCCATATATGTGAGAAGTGCTGCTTCATTTAAAAGACTACTGAAAATTATGAAAAAAAAAAAAAAAAAACTTCACAGAAATATGTTATGATGTGTCAATAGTTTAGGTACTAATAATGTATTACCAACAGACATGACATACAAGAAATCTGTGCAAGTATATCAAGTTTTATAAAGTCAGTGCAGTGGTTGAGTTCTGTGATGACACAAAAAAAGAAGTTAATTTTTCTCAAAAACCCAAGGACTTTAGTAAAAAGTGAATTTGTTTCTAAACAACTTTTATTTGAAACATTTTTTGCTCCAATAACTACTTGGCAAGTTATGCTTAAAATACTTGCAGAAAAAATCTAGGTCTTAATGTGAAGTGCCCACTATTTCTGTCTGAACTTAGCCTAAACTGGAATTGCCAGAATTTTGCAGAAGTTTCCCAAGAGAAATATTAAAAGAATCTCTTCATCGGTTTATTTGCTGACACTAGGTCAGTAGTTTTATTGTGTTTGAATACTGACAATACTGTTGTATGTTTAATATGCCTGCTCTATTGGCACAAGACTTTTAAGGATGTACTCCATAGAAATTTTGAAGTTTGGAGGTATGTACCAGAAAATAGGAAAATGAAATGCAAATCAGTGAAACTTTTTCCATGATTTATTTCACCGTCTTCTAGTGCATACACTTATCTACCTCACTTCTCTCTCTCGAACTACATGCTTCGGCACAAAAGTGCCATCTTCAGGTGCTTATTCGATTAACGTTAAACTAGTTCACTGCATGCCTTGTCGTCTTCATGAAACTTTTTCATTTGAAATTTCAACAAAATCTGTGGAAGGGTTTATGTGATATATATATGTATATCAAAGTCTATTTGAAGACTTATGTAAAGTAGGCTTTATTATGGATTAATGTGGCTGAAAGTTTGAATTACCCAACAGCTTTTGATGTAAGCCTCCTGTACTGAGTTTTAGCAAAATCTGCAAAAGAATTTATGGGAAACACAGAGCATTTCATTTATGACTTTATGAAAATTATGCTATATTATTGATTAAGGTGATTGCAAATCAGAATTATCCACCAACTTTTAGTGAAAGTCTCCAACACTGAATTTTAAGAAATGCATCCAAAATTTATGGCCCTTATACTAAGTATAAGAATGTCTGTATATATCTGCTATATTACATACAGCAAAGATTCAAAACAGGGCTCTCCCTGATATATAAAAGGATACAAACCACAGAATCCTTAAGACTTTTGTGTGCACAGATCAATTTCAACCAAAGGCCAATCTTTATGTGGAGAGTACTAGAAGCTCATCGTGTTTCAGAGCCTTGTTAATTTGTGTGTCCCTTGTACTGACAGTGATATTCTTGACAAGGATATAAGTAATATATATTTTACTGGTCTCCAATGAGAATCACGGACTTAATGTCATTGGTGCCCCTGCTTCAAAACACTTACATTCCTTCACTTTGACAGGCAGGCTGGAGTTATGATGGTCAATGAAGCCATAGCTGTTGGATTCGCAGTACGCTACAAACTAGCAGTAGCGCGTATGTTTCATGATGTGGCATGGCATTAACGGTCATATATTTATTTCATTTATCACAATGTTCATGAAATCAAATATTATATTCCTCTTGAAAATACAGAAGACTTTCACACATAAATAATTTTAGTTCAAAATAAACAACTTGCATTAAATCATGGATATGTACGTGTCCCTGGCCACAGGAGATGTCCATTATTTTGTAAAATATGGAAGAATGTGACAAGGGAAAAGTTTTTGAAAAGCATGTGTTTCCAGTTTCAAACTTTGTGGTATTCCATACGCAGCTATGTGTGGTTTAATGGATTTGCAAGATTTGGCCACAGCTGGTCACACTGCCATGTTGTCATTGTACAAGTACCGGTACATTAGAATACAATGGTTACATTCACTACTCCTCTTCCATGTTGTACCTAGCACTCCTTCACTACCTCTTCCCCCTACTCTGGGAACATTATTCCTTTCCCCATCATGTCACCTTGGCAACATCACTGTAAATGTAAAAAGTGTAGCACCATAACAGCTCATCCTAGGCACCCTCCCCACCCAAAAGAAAATTTTGGCACTTAAGATTATATATATACATAATTTGCAACAACTTTATCCCCTTTTACATTTTCCATATTTTGTCAAATAATATAAGTCTCTTGTGGCCTGTGACCCTTAGGCCACCTCTATGCACACATATATATATATATATATCATTTGCTTTTGCTCAGTAAGACTGAATTCTTACATTCTAAACCATCTTTTATCATGGCAATTAAATTATAATTTATAAGATAATGTATGGTATTTTTCATATGCCATCATGTCTTAGTCTGCACAGTTTACTAGTACTTTCATCGACATAAACACAATTAAATGTACATGAATTTCATTAATGGGCATGTTACCAAACAAAGTTCTTCAACACTCACCTTCAGTATTTGAAAGGAGGGTAAGTCTATAACAAACATTATTACCTGTGCAGGAAAACAAGCTGGGTGATATCTGCTTCTCTCTGCGCTATGTTCCCACAGCAGGCAAGCTTACTGTTGTCATCCTGGAGGCGAAAAACCTGAAAAAGATGGATGTTGGTGGTCTTTCAGGTTAGAACTTTATTTTTTGGTCAGAAAATATAACAGACAAAAGAAAACGAAGTGTGTTTTATAAGTACATCGAGTAAATATTATCTGTGGTAACTTTGAATCTACAGCAGTACATTTTGCCTGGATTAAATACAAGGCTAGACATCTGGGCTTTGCTACTACTGTAAATGCCAGTCTTCTTGGATTACTGAATCACGCTTATCTCAGCTACTTGAAATCCGTAGCAATGAATGGATAATTAGGGGTCACTGTGGATGATGAGGTAGAAAAGATAAGGGAGTAAGCAGTTATGGCTTTATGTTTGGGCAGTATGAAATGTTGGATGAAAATTAGAACATCCTCTTTTGCAAAACATAAAGCAACAAGTAAAAATCCTGTTTTAGGAAACGAAATATAATTGGAGTTGGAATAAGGAAAGAATTGTCATATTAACTTATGTTCACTATTTAATGTCTGTATCAGGATATATAAAAGATATTTTCCCCTCTCCTTTAATAAGTCAGAGGTCTTTTCATACCCCACCCCCAAATGATTAGTTTAAAATATTAATGTAATTGAAGTATATTTATTACAAAGGAACAAAATGATGCATAAAATAATTATTTAATACTGTGTTATGTTTGTTCTTAACAGATCCCTATGTGAAGATTGCTCTGATGCAGAATGGCAAGAGGCTCAAAAAGAAGAAGACTAGTATCAAGAAATGCACTCTAAACCCTTACTACAATGAGTCCTTCACCTTTGAGGTGCCCTTTGAGCAGATCCAGGTAAAAATGTGATCACAAATCTGCAACTTTAATGGCTGTATTTATACATGAAACTGCATTCATATCATCTCATAGCAGCCTTCTCCCTGCTGGGGGATAAGATATACATATGTCTGATGTTTCACCACCAACTGTTCACTGCATATAATTATTCACTTTGTGGACGTTATCCATCATCCTACTCTTTATTTAAAAACAATGTTTCGGAGACTGGACTCTGTCTCCATCCTCAGGAAGAAGTCTGCTCAGCTAGGCCCAACTGATAGAGACAGTCCCTATCTCTGGAGAGAGTCCAGTCTTGCAAACATTGTTTTTAAAGAAGAAACAAGATGATAATGTCCAAAAAGTCAATAATTATATTAATATACCATAATCACAGACTTATGGATCTTTTTCATTGCATGCAATTTGTGAATTGAGGATATATCTAAAATTCGTTTTTAATGTGTCTGAACATGTAATTTTTATGTTCACTTCTGTTGTTGAGTTGTGCAATACTGAACCACAATACCTGGAATCATATATGTTTTGTATTATAACTGACATAATAGATTTCTGTAGAGAGAGAACTTCATTTTTATCATTCACATACATAATTAAAACATTGCTATTCATATAAAATGTTATCTTCTAGAAATAACCCATAATGCAAAAACTACACATAGGCCTATACAACAAGATATGCTTTCTTGACCCAATGATGTCTATAAAATTTGTCTGCAGTATGTTTTCTCTACATCTTGCCATCAAGTCATCATTTATCTCATACAAATTCATGATTTTGAACACTTCATAGCTGAAAATACATCAGACAGAAGTATTTCCCATGAGGTCCCTACCATTTGATATAATTAAAGCTTTACAGCTCTCCTATACTTAAAATTTCCTGTACTGTTTTAAAAAGCCTGGGAAAAATTGCAATAAAACATGAGTTTAACAGTCAAACTTCAAATGTAATGTCTTTAATGGTATTAAGACTATTGGATTTTCATATCTGCCAATAGCTCTCTGATCTCCACATGGGTTAATTGTGATGTACAGTAATGGTAACTTTTGAAGAGGGATTACACATTTTTACATTTATATTGACTTTCTGAATTTAATTCAGTTACAGTTATAGTTCCTAACATATTTGTGTGTGAGAGAGATTTAAATCAGAATATAAATACTCTTCCAGTATATGGAAGAACACAGTGAACATGACTGGTAACTTAACTCAAATGCAGACTTAAATTGACCATGGGTTATTATGTAATTTCGTTTTGTCCAGTATAATCAATATAATAAGAAAGATTTAACTCTTCTGTTAAACATGTTAAAAAAATAAACATCAAACATAGTTCTTACAAACATTTTGTATTATTAATGCAGAAAGTAAACTTAATGGTTACGGTGGTGGACTATGACCGTATTGGTACATCAGAGCCTATTGGTAAGGTGGTACTGGGCTACAATGCAAGTGGAACAGAGTTACGTCATTGGTCTGACATGCTGGCTTCTCCCCGCCGACCAATTGCACAGTGGCATACCCTCAAAGA